ATAGTACAATATCTTAGATTTGCTTTTGAAAAAAAATGCAAGGACATTGGAGGGAGGGACAATGGATAAATATAAAACAAGGCTGACATGCCAAAAGCCCATACATAATAGATGTCAATATCAGCTGATGGGTACATGGTATTAGGGAAAATTCAAACATATACTGGTTAAAAAGCAAAATATGCAGAATTAAGATGACTTGGGTACTGTTATGCAGTGAAGTATTTAAAATGCTCCTTTAGCCTTAGCTCTTCATTTTGTGATGCCTTATAAATCCTAGTCTCTGTATGAGTCCTAGTGTGGCGCTGTAGGATAAGCACTAGACTGCTAATCACAAGATCAGCAGTTCAAACTCATCAGTCGCTCCTTGGAAACCTTATACAGGGTCACTGAGTCAGAACCGATTTGACAGTACATAACAACATACCTGTGGCTATAGTCCCATTTTGGAATGACTTGTCTGTTATGTTACTGAGCAGGATTAAAGTGGGATGGATCTTGAGTCGGTGCCTTATTACAGGGTATGACTCAAGTCACCACCCTTAGTTTCCAAATTAGCCATCATCTTTGATATCTGTGTTAAAACAAGAGCTTTCTGTTTTAACTGTTCTATTATTAAGCAAACCAACTTTCTTTAAGAAAAGCAGTTGGCTGGTGTCACAGAACTGGCTGACACCAGATCTGGCTCACCTAAAATTCATAGTAATGATCAAGTGTCCTCAGATCTTTTGACTTCATGAGCCTCCATCAATGCCCAGAGCTTTCAATTACTATCTTTGTGACCTCCTCCACACCCATGCCCAGCTAAAGATGTCCCAAAGACTTAATTCTTGTGCCAAATCACCATGATGAACACCCAATCAGATGCCAGCTACCATCCTAGAAGATCCGATTTAAAAGCCCAGAACTTGAGGGGCCATTTTGGCAACATGAGTCCCATTGTGCTCCTTCACTTGACCAAACAAATAAAAACGTTTTCTTTCACTTCCCTCCATTTTGTGTGTCTCTAGTGGTGCCAAGTGAGACTAGCTACACTTTGGTAGTTTTCTTGCTTGCTTTGGATCCTGCATCTGGCTTGCTTATCTGATCTCTGGCTCTTGAAACTTGAGCCAGCAGCCTATTGCTTGATCTGATTCTCCAGTTTCCACAACTGTTAAGACATTCCCCTGATGGACTGTGAGCTGTTTGAGACATTGCAGCTAATTACACAATTCCAGGACGTAAGGTAGAATGCTGAGGCAGGCATAATAAGTTGAGATGATGAGGTGGTCCAGTATTTGGGAGAAGTTAGACATATGGGCCACCGTTAACCCCCACCTGAGGGACCAGTCTTGTGTTGATCCTTCTGAAGGCATTATCCTTGTAGGTTCTAATTTGCTGCACAACTCAGTTCACTTAAATTTCATTAAGCCCCAAATTTCCTCATTTTTAAAAAGAGGATTTAGGGATCATGAACACTGAGGTATTTGTGAGTACTAGAGTACATCTGATATAATGCAGATTGTTTAAATCATTGTCTTTTAAGAACTAATTGATGGTGGCAGTGCAGTTTACTGTTTGATGTGCCCCTTCTAGCCATGGTGTTCCGTTCTGAGATGTATCATGGACCCATTTTGGAGTGAATTGTCTGCTATGCTGAAGAGTCAGGATTGGGGTAAGATATAGAGTCCCTATCTATAGACGTTGTGTGTGACTCAGCCACTACCCTAAGTTTCCTTGGAGATGTGGTCTCCAAATTAGCAATCATCTTTGATAGCTGTGTTAAAACAAGAGCTCTCTGTTTTAAGTTGTTCCCATTATAAGGCAAACCATCAACTTCCTGCTTATTTCAGAAAAGCAAGAGGTTGGAGTCATAGAACTGGCTGAGACTAGCTCAGATCCACTTAACAGGCATAGTAATGACCATCATCTGATCTTTTGACGTCATGAGTCTGAAAACAATCAGGACATGGACAAAGTGCCATCTTTGTGACCGCCCTTCCCAACTGTGAATGCCCAGACTAATTCTTGTGCTGAATCATCCTGACACCAATCAGACGCCCGAGAAGACCCTATAAAAAGACTCCTGGCCCAGGACTCAGGAAGCCATCCTGGTGACACTGACCAAGTTTGTTGCCATCTGACCTTCAGTTCTTGGGACTTGAGTTGGCTACCTAGTGTCTGATTTTCAAGATTCCGAAGCCTTGTGAATCAACAGGTCAGTTTGGCATGAGTGAGTAGAATCCTACAGACTGACTGTCATCTGAGCTACAGATTTGGAACCTGCCAGCCTCCAGGGTCCTGTGAGCCATTTCCTGGATGGTTCATGGGTTCTATGAGACGTAGCTAATTTTGGTACCCTGGGACATGAGGGGAGGAATGGTGGTAGACATTAGGGATTATGGAGTGGTATAGCATCAAGGAAGTCAGATACTGGGAGTACCTTTCACCTCTACCTCATAGGGACCAACCTCCTCATGCTGATCCTTTTAAAAGATATTCTTCTTACAATGGTATTCTCTTCACCACTGGATTTCTATGAGAATGAGACCTTCTAAATCCCAGAAAAACATTTGTTAAGTATGATGGATGTGTAGTATAAAAAAGTGTTTTTTAATGGTGACTTCCAACACCACTTCTAATGCTTTTTACTTTGAAAATTAGTAACTCTACTTTGTTTACTTTACTACTAATTCATTAATGTATCTAAATGTACATTACGGCAAAATAGATTCTTTTCTAGAAACCTTAATTTCAAACACTAAGTACTATACACTTCATACCATAAAATAGCAGTTTACTAAATGTTTTATATATTTGCTCTTCTTTTTTTGAGACATGGTGTGGCTCTATAGGATAAGAACTGGGCAGCTAACCACAAAGTCAGCTGTTCAAACCCATCAATCATTCCTTGAAAACCATACACAGAGTCGCTGTGAGTCACCTACTTAACACGTAACAACAATTAAAGTTGTTAAGTGAATGAAATTAACAGTTTTTAGTAATATGAATTTTGAAAAAGAAAAAAAACTTTTCATAGGGCATTTAACCAAGTAATGATTTAATATTTATCAGATGTGTAAATATACAAACATGATAGCAATTTTTAAAACTTGTAAATATTGGCCTTACAAAATTACAACACACTGTAAATAAATCCCTCCCATATTTTGTACAAACTACATGATTTTGATATACAAAGATTCTGTTTTTATTACACTGACAATGTACAACCGAGATTATTTACAATGCAAAAAAAGTATATAAACCACAATTTAACACTCTGCTACTGGCAGCCACTATAGTTTAGGAGGTAGCTTTAATTAAACGAAATGAACAGAAGCCACATTTCCCAACTTGTGTTCTAAAAATAATTTACAGAAGATAAAAATTCATTATATGCACAGTATATACAGTTTCATTATTAAACTGCAATCTAGGGTAACGTTTTTTAGTATACCCAGAACAACTAATATGGCAGTGGATTTGCTACTGATTTAGCATAGTGTTCAAAACCATAGTGAACATTTGTCACTTTAAGACTCTATAGTGACATGAGAATCAAGTAAAACTTTATTTGGAAAAAAAAAAAACCACAAAACCAAACATAGGACCAAACTTTATTCCTATACCTTTTTCCTTAACAATTTGTCTTATCTCACCAGAGCACAGAACCTGGGCTGCTGAACCAGCTCTTTTGTAATCAGGGTAAGGGAAAACGTAGTAGCACTTCTGTGTAATAGCACAGGTTCAAGGAAATCCAGCTCACTGAGAAACAAGTGACATAATCTGACATAATCACTCTGACCAACAAAACTGGAAAATTGGGTAGAGCCAGTGATGTTTCAAAGCAAAAACCAAATCCTCTGCTATCGAATCGACTCTGACTCGTAACAACACTACAGGACAGAGTACTTACAGGTTTCCAAGGCTGTAAGTTTATAAGGAAGCTGATTACCACACATCGTTTTCCCTCAGAACAGCAGGTGCTTAGCACCTGAGTACTTTTATTAATGGAAACATTACATGGAGCCATCATATCCTTAGGTACTGTTGAAAACCTTGTACTAGCATTAACAGTATGGCGAAATCTATAAAACCCACAAAGCAATTAGCCCTTTATGTTTTCCTAGTAGTATGATCACAAACACTGAGGAAAAACTTACTGGACTGCACCAAAGCTATACATAAGGACTGAAAACAAATGTTCTGCTATTTTAAAAAAATCTAACAGCTGTTAATATTGTTTTAAAAACACTTATGGTTTTGGATTTATAAATCACAAACAAAATTTAAGATTCTATTATGTCTACGATGGAAATAGAAAACATAATGAAGTAATGCCTATGTATACTTTCACAGTTTTACTTGGGAGATAATCCCTTTTTGGCCCTGCAGTAAGTTGTCCTGAGATTAATATACTAAAAAACGTTAGCAATAATATACTAAAAAAACATTAAAATTAGCAAGACTTTTTCTTCAGGTATATAAAAATCACATTTCAAAATAATTTTTTAAAAAATATTAACAGCTGTTCTTTATTTTGTGCTTAATTTAATTCAGAAACAGGTATAAATTTACTTCTTACAGATTGCTAAACCAAAATCAAACCAAACCCATTGCTGTTAAGTGGATTCCAGCTCACAGCAACTCTATAGGACAGGCGAGAATTCCCTCTAGGATATCCAAGGCTGTAAATCTTTACAAAAGCAGACTGACACAGCTTTCTCCCCCAGAGCAGCTGGTGGGTTTGAAACACTGACCTTTTGCTTCACAGCTGAGTGCTTAGCTACTGCGTCACCTGGGCTCCTTCAACATTATATTGCTACTCTACCTAAAATTCTTTTTCAAGATAAAATTGTGTTGCAAATAAACCACACATTGCTTAGCTGTTGCATGTTTTACCAATTTATGCGTTAGGCACCTGTGTTCTTTGAAAACTTATTGTTTGAGAAATACACTACTACCTTCTCCTCCTAAGTGACCGCAGGCCATGATTACAGAAGTGCTTTCCAGATGAAAGGTCAGAATAAGGCTCACTCTATCAACACTGTGATTTTGGTGGGTGGGGGGATAAACAGTCACAAACACATTCATTCAGTCTTTAACTCTCGGTAGATTGTAAGCGTAGCGCACCAAAGGGAATCCTCGACTCTGGTAGAAGCAGGCTCGTCCACAGGCCTGCACCTGGTCAGAACTGTCCGAGACGAAGGAGTCTTCTTCATCTGCATAATCAGAGTGGGCAGACTGCGTGCCACAATCGGACCAATAGCCATCTGCTCTTTGACAGGAAGCCACTGCCAAGGCAGGACAGCTGTGTGATTTTATTAAGTGTTTGCATGATATCGGTTTTGTCAAAAGAAAGGATTCACAGCAGTCACACACAGTCAGGTTACCCTGCAAGTGTGAGTACATGCCACAGTCATAATAGAAATCCTGTTCCACACAACCGCTTTGGCTACTAATGGAAACGGAAACGGATCCACTTTTCTTGGTAATACGTCGCTTCAGTAACTTCCAGTCTTCCTTAAATTTGGGGTTGAAGAAAACATACAGGACTGGATTCAGACAAGTAGGCAAAGGGAAAAATATCAGAGTCACAGATTTCATTATTTCAGGGCTGATAGAGATTGCAGTGATCAATGGTGCAAATGACAAAAATGCAACAGGACAGAAAAAGATGCAATTGGTGAATATGAGCCAAGCAACATGCTTAATCATGCTAGACTGTGAGTTCTCAGACAGGTCCTCTTTTTCCAAGTTGCAGTAAAGTTTAGTGTAGATAACAGCCATGAGTAAAAATGCTAGTGAGTTTAAAAGCACCAAGGTTACAGTAAAGCCCAAGGAGGGAGTTTCCCCGGTGGGAAATGGCAAACATAAGGGTGATGCAGAATACTCCCCTCTATGGAAAAGGGGGAAACAGCCCGCTACTGCGGCACCCAGAAAAGCAAAAAGGGCAGCACCCCGGAACTGTTTGATATGATTGCTTTTCCCACTTTGCATGACAGATAAACTTCTTTCAATGGCTGCTAACGTTAATAAAAATATGGCACTTTCCGACGAGAAAACTGCAAGAAATCCAGCTACTTTGCAACCAGTGCCAGTCTCCCACCAAATGCCAAAGTCAGAAAATCTGCCCCAGGACACAGCATCCAGAAAAGTTAAGATGCCAGTATAGACTCCCATGAATAAATTAGACACAGAAATCAGGCCTATGAACAATTTGGAGGAAGGCAGTGATGTACAAGATGCAAATGTTGTTAAAATCACAAGCAGGTTGGAAAACAACGCAACCAAGAAAATGAACCACACAGTAAGACGAATCATCCAGCTTCCAAGTAAATATTCACAGGGCTTAAAAGCACCTAAAAAAAGAAAAAGAAGTAAAAAGACAAATTTAGAAAATGCTATCTTTCATAATTAGATGACCTGATAAGTAAATGAAGGTAAATCTATAATAATGAAATCTACTAAATTGAAAGAGATCACTACTTCTGAGATACTATTTTGTTAAGTGCTGCTGAGTTGGTTCCGACACTTAGTGATCCTGTATATGGTTTGCTAGTGGGTTTAAACTATTATCCTTATGGTTAGCAGTCCAATGTTTGATGAGGCCCAACAGTAATATTATATAATATACATTTTTTTACTTTCTCTTATACCTAAGTTAAGGTACTTGATACACTGTAGCAATAGAGAGTTTGGAATCAGAGAAACTAAATTTGTAACTTGCTACTCTACCACTTGTCTAGTTGTTGTATTGCTGGTTTATAAGTTGCTATGAGGCTGGAGCTCTGGTAGCGTAGTGGTTACGAATCGGGCTGCGAACCTTAAGGTCAGCGGTTCGAAACTACCAGCCGCTCCGCGGGAGAAAGATGAGGCTTTCTACTCCTGTAAGGATTTACACCCTCAGAAACCCTGTACAGGGTCGCTATGGGTCGGAACCGACTCAATGGCACTTAACAACAACAACATGAGGCTGGAAGCTACACTAATGGTATTCCAGATACCAGTTATCCATGGTAGAAAGGTTTCCATGGAGCTTCTACTCTAAGACAGACTTGGAAGAAAAACCAGGAGAGCTACGTCTGAAAACCAGCCAATAAAACTCTATGGATCTGAATAGAATCTTATTTGATACAGTGCTAGAAGCTGAGCCTCCTCGGCTGGATGACACTCAAAATACAGAGTGACCGCAACAGTGGACTAGCACCTACCATTGATGGTGAAGTCGGAGCAGGGCTGGGCAACATTTCATTCTAGTCTACAAGCAACTACACCAACTTGCTCCTATGGGTTTGAGAAAACAACTTACGCACTTTTGAGCATTTTCTCTTTTGTGAATAATAATGCCTGTTGTCAAAGAGTTGTGAAGCTTAAGTAAAACTGTATACTAAGCAGGTTATACTAGGCACATAGTTGGCCTTCCCCAAAGTGTTGTTGTTGTTGTTGTGAAATGCTGCCCAGTCATTTTCAACTCATAACCACACCAAGGAGTGGCTAGTTGAAATGAACTGCAGACCTTGTTGTGAGCAAGGTTAAAACACAGTGTTTATCCTACAGCTCCACACCACCATTGTTGGTGTTGTTAAGCGCCATGGAGCTGATCCTGACCCATAGCAACCCTGTACAGGGTTTCCGAGGAGCGGCTAGTGAGCTTGAACTGCTGACCTTGCAGTTCGAACGGCTTTGCAGTCTGGCACATTAACCCACAGCGTCACACCACTATACTTGATAGTAATTCTCTATGTTCATGTTTATGTGTGTGTTTGTGTGTGTATATATACATTTTTATGATTCAAAAGCAATCTGATAAAACAGGTTAAGTTATAATTATCCACATTTTTAATCCAGAGAAACTGAAATTTCAGTTTTGATTAAACTGACCAAAGATATTCCAGTAAGTTCATTTACCTAAGACTAACACAGTAATGTTAACTATTCAAAGAAAGTTATGTTCAATAAAATGTGTATTAAATAAGGATTGCAAGGACTAATTTAATAGGCCTGAATTATAGATTCCAATAACTGACATATTACTTATATCATAAATGTTTTATTTAGAAATCACCAGAGGAAAACAAACTTCTGACTCTAAAGCACAAGAAAATGTTTGGCAATTGTCTAAAAGACACGTTCTATATTCTGATTTATTTTTCTGAGCTGTCAAAGAATGTGATGAACATTTCAGGCCTTGAGATATTCATTCACAGCGCTAGGACCAACTCTGCACCATTTATACCTGATTTCCAGATGACACTTCCTTATTTTACAGTGGTAAAAAAACCGCCCCCCTCCCCAATCCATTTAAACCATTTTTAAGTATACATTCCAGTGGCATTAATTACATTCATTATGTTCTATACCCACCACCACTATTTCTAAAGCTTTTTTTCACCCTTCCCCCAAACAGAAACTATAACCAATAACTAATTACTTTTCCTCAGCCCATCAATCTCTAATCTACTTTCTTCTAGGAATTTGCCTACTATCGAAGTAGAATCATACAGTATTTGTCTTTTTCTGTTAAAAGGACTTTGTCTTAATTTAAAACACACACACACTCACGCAAACCTTCAGGGCAATGGGAAGAGAAAAGTTAAAAAAATTTTTTTTTCTAGATTTCTGTATTTGAACTCATCCTGCAAGGGAGGGACATGAAAAAAGAAAAACTATTAGAGAAACAGCAGCTCATTTGACGTAGTAGAACAGGGCACCCTTTGGGAAGTGTTTCACTAGTTAGTAGAGTTATTTTGCCTCAAAAGCCTAGAGAGCAGGCTTCACCCAGTCTCTGTCTTTGGAAAACTGCCCCCTACTCCCAGTCCTAACAGAAGTCTATGGTCCTACATTTCTAGCTTCTGCAGTAAGCATGGTATCTCTGAGTAGACCTAGGGCTGTGGCTGGTGGGTTGGCACATTGCAAATGAATAGAAGAGGCAACTTTGTAATTCATTTCTACAACAACCTTGGGAGACAGATTAACTAAGACCAGTTTTCCTCCTGGTCAACCGCAATGTGGAAGAGATGGAATCACTGAATGTTCAAGTCTAGCCTCACCTTTAGTAAAACTGTCCCTTTCTCATCTGGTTGTCAGTTCTTTATGCATATTATCCAACAAAGGAGCAAATGAGCCACCAGCAACCGTTAACCTTCCACTAAGAGTTGATTCCAACTCTTAGTGACCTTGTATATATGTGGAGTCCTGGTGTGGCACTGTGGGTTAATGCACTGGACCGCAAGGTCGGTTTGAACCGCAAGGGTGACGGTTCAAGCCCACTAGCCGCTCCTCGAAAATCCTATATAGGGTCACTATGACTCAGAACTGACTCGACGATACTAAACAACATTTGTTTAAAGTGAGAAACAGCAAAATGTGCTGATGTACCTGTAGAGGGTATACAGTGGATTATTATTTGACTGTGTTCTTCATTTTCAGCACTGCTTGTGACACCAGCTGTATCAGCGGTACCTGTATATATAACAAAGAGGATGTGTAATTAAAATAGGATGCAAGTCAAAAGAACCATATTTTCCTGTAATTTTCCCTCATGTAGATGATGAAAATGTAGCTTTGATGAGGCTGAACACAACAATAAAGGTGTTAGTAACACAGTAAATTCTATCTTCAGAGATTTCAAGTTGATCATCTGTCACAAAAGGATTACAATAGCAGAGACCTTGAAGATTGTTTATTTTAGAAAGTACATGCACTTGCCTTTATTCTTCGCCACACTGTGGCCTTGGAGGCTACTATCTTCTGCATTTGAATAAGAGTCACAACCCCAAAATGCACAGCACTGATAAGCATATGGTACAGATAAAGACCTGGGAAAAAAAAGGAAAATCTACATTTAATAGCAACTTCAAAGGTATGTTTTTGTTTTAAAAAAAGCATTGTAATCTTTGAAAGCTCCAGCCTAGGAGCCAGAAAGACCTGATGTTATGTGTTTGGCGGTCATTCAGCTTCTCTGGACCTCGCTTTCCTCAGCTGTAAGAGAGCTCTGGTGTCAGGGGACCAGAGTTTCTCCCTTTATAGAGAAGCTGCTCTTAAAAGTTGACTGTAAATCAAACCACGTTCAAATTCTAATAGCAATACTGCAATTTACAGTAAAATCAGTCTCCTTTCATAAATCTTTCCCAATTTATTACATGAAACTGCTAGTTTCATTTAAGTTTAATGCCCCAGGTCATTCTATGACTTTTTACCATTAAATGGATTTACTCTGCTTATATAAATGTACTGAAAACATTTATTCCTTTCATAGTAGAGTACTTCCAAACCCTCTTTTTAGTTTAATAAGGTTCCCCCTATAACTCTAGCTTCCCTTTGAAGTATTATAATGTTGTTGTTGTTAAGTGCTGTTGAGTTGGTTCCAACTCATAGCAACACTGCATATGGTGGGCTTGAACTGTTGGCCTTGCAGTTAGCAGTCCAGTGCTTATCCTACAGCTCCACATCAATTTTTTGCTGTTGTTAAATACCGCTGTGTCTGTTCTGACTCATAGCAACCCTGTACAGCATTTCCCAGGAGGTGAATTTTTAACAGCCAACGTTGCAGTTCATACTGACCTTGAAGTCCAATGCATTATCCTGCATCAATTTTTTTTGTAGGTTCCCACTTATGTGGTTTCTGCAATCTTATTGCTAACAAAAGTCCACAGCATAAAAAAAATCCTGATTCATAGTTGTATCAACTCTTTGAAAGCAGTTCATATTCTCCAAGATATTAAACAATGGTCAAATTCTATTTTTGACCAAATTTGTGTCAACTATGGTGGAAAATACTTTTAAATACTCCCCGCACATACAAGAACTACATCAAAAACTGTGACATTCAAAAATTTAGAAGCTTACTATAATATCAACTAAAAAGAAAAACAAAAAACAAACCTGAGATTCGCAAAGTCTTTTGCTGCTAAACCTTCTTTCAGTTTGAAGTTGCCTGCTAGTTTCAGTTGATTTAGCCCAGTAAGGCCTTCAGCAGGAAATGAAGTTAATTCATTGAAACTTATGTCTCTAAAATATAAATGAAACCTCACATTAACACTTAAGACACAAACCACATAAAAACATCTGTTGTTTAATTAACAAACAAAACACAACAATTCAAAGGTTACGTTCAGGTGAGCTAAATAATGAACGCAGCATTCATTGTGCCATCATAGAAGCTGTTACTACACCAATGCAGCCTGGCATTTATGCACGGGAACAGAAAAATATTTTGCTACGGCAGCATTAAATGCCAAGTTTCTATAACACTATTCACTATGTTCATGTTATTACTGCATAAACAGTCTACTTACAAGTTAGTTATTGACCCAAGTTTGGCAAAAGCTCCATTGTGAATTTCATGGATCAGGTTTCTACTCAGATCTCTGCAATTATTAGAATAGTATGTTAATCTTTGCAAATAAACACAGCGTCAGTTAGTTACTTCAACTGCACTTTAAAATCTGAGGCAGTCACACAATATCCCTGGATAACAGAGATTTTCAATTTTGTCCAACAACATTTTTTTTAAAGAATGATTTTGAATGCCTCCTTCACAGTAATCTATTTCTTAGGAAGGTGTTTCTTTGCGCAGTGATTCTACCTATATCCAAATTCAATGCCATTGATTGCTCTGCTCTCATAGCAACCCTATAGGATAAACAGGGTTGTCAAGCTGTAAACCTTTATGGAACAAGACTGCCACACCTTTCTCTCATGGAGCGGCTAGTGAGTTTGAGTCACTGACCTTCCACTTAACAACCAAGTGCTTAACCCCTGTACCACCAGAATTCCTTTCTACCTGGCATCTGTTTGAATTTTCTCTATCACTCTGGTAACAGTTCAAAAATACAAAAGATACAAACTTTCGTATTAAGTAGGTGAGGAAAAGCCCAGCTCATGACAAAGCTGAAAATAAAAACAGGCTTCATATTATTTGCCTTCTCAAAGGTTAGTGATAAGGCCCTGAGGGATGACAAAGAATCGATATGCAAACATGAGCATTCCAGAAGGGCTTCAGATAGCATTCTTTTCCCAAGCAGGAAATAAAAATCATATCAGCAGCAGAGACACACTACACTGAGAAACACCCTCTGAGTAATTCTGATATTACAGGATTCATAAAACAGAGAAATAATCTCTCCAAGCACACTTAAATTGGCTAAAGATTAAATACATTCATTCCATGACACATCTCTCGGATAACAGGAAAACTTGACAAACTTCATTCTAAATCATGAAAAAGCCAGCTTTTCATTGTTATCACTTATCAGTGTTCTAGAAGTGATGGCAGTTAGGAGCCAGTCCCTTCCCCACACTACCTCCAAACCCACAGTCAGCCTATTGGCAAGCAGGGAAAACCTAAAAACTACCAACTATCAAGAAACTGTTTCCTAGTAGAATGCATGTTTTATTTCTTAAATAGGAACTACTAGAAAACAGGATTCGATACATGTAATTTTACTTCAATTACAATTTTTTTTTCTATATTTAAAAAATAATCACTGATATAGTTTACCTGTGTTTTCTGCACTAAAGTTATATGAAAGCAGGGACAAGGTCTATAGTCCATCTATCCCATTGTCATTGACTCAATTCCAACTCAGAAATCCCACAGGACAGAGGAGACCTGCCCCACAGTGATTCCAAGGATTTAATCTTTACGGAGGCAGAGTACTACATCTTTCTCCTATGGAGTGACTAGTGGATTAGAACCACTGACTCTCTGGTTACCCGCCAAGTGTTTAACCACTGTAACATCAGCGTTCCTTTGGGTCTGTCTTTGCTGTTGTTGTTAAGTTCGGTTGAGTCAGTTCTGACTCATACCAATACTATACAGGGTTTCTGAGGAGTGGCTGGTAGTTTTGAACTATCAACCTTGCAGTTAGCAGCCCAGTGCTTATCCTACAGTGCCACACCAGGTCTGTCTTGTTGTTGTTGTTGTTATGTGCCGTGGAGTCGGTTCCGATTCATAGTGACCCTGTACAGGGTTTCTGAGGCTGTAAATCTTTATGGTAGCAGAAAGCCTCATCTTTCTCCCACGGAACAGCTGGTAGTTTCGAACCGCTGATCTTGAGGTTTGCACCCCGATTCGTAACCACTACACTACCAGAGCTTCTTAGGTCTGTCTTGGTCACCTCTATATTCCTAATAGCTTAATATAGAGCCTGGTACAAATGTACTCATATACAAATATTTTTTTTTTTAAATGAGTGTTTCTGCTACATATTTGCTATTCGTTATAATAATAGGTACCCTGGTGCAGGGTCCGCAACCTTTTCCTGTAGAAGAGCAGACAGTGAGTCACATTGACTCTGCTGTAACTACTCAACTACGTCCCTGTATGGTAAAAGCATCTTTAGACAATCTAAACAAAATGGCATGGCCACATTCCAAGAAAACAAGTGCCAGAAACAGGCCACAGGCTAGTCTTAGCCCCCAAGCTAGACAGGTCATACACTTTTTAGTCACCAATGGAGCAAATAAACAATTAGCAAATGTGAAAATTCCAAAAGTAGATGATTTATACAGTATCATGTGATAAAGTTTAATAAAATCTTTAAGTATATTTGTTAACATGGGAACTGCAATAGTATATTATTGGTTTATAACTTCATAACAATTTTATGTCTGTTTAATCAGCACAAACTTACAGAATCCGTAGGGAAATCAGGCCTTGAAAAGTACTTTCCTCTATTTGGTGGATCTGATTATGTTGCAAAGAACTAAAATAAAAAGAAAAAATAATAATAAGGAGCAAAAATTGTATTTCTATTTTAAAAATAACATTTCTTAAATGTTTTCTAAGTTGAAATACCCATTCACAGATAACATTCAATGGTTTGGTTAAAAGTAAAGAGAAACTGAGGAAGGAGACGGAAAAAGAGGGCACAGGAAAGTAATGGTAATGATAACATCACATCGATTGAGGAAGGTGCCTAGCTAGCATTACTGAATAATTTGGATCAAAGATTTCACAGGACAATCCTGATCAAAGGGGGAAACTGCAATAGCTGATGACTGTAATTGCTGTCTTTAAGTTGTATACCTGTAAAATGTGGAACTAGAAAAAGTTGTGTGGTAGATAGATTTAAAACAACAGTAACAAAAGCCTGTAAAATGCGGAACTAGAAAAAGTTGTGTGGTAGGGTAGATAGATTTAAACAACAGTAATAAAAAGAGTAGCTGCTGAGGCTGTCAGTATAATCAATACACCTTACGGGATTTACATGGAGGGGACTATAACCACAGGCAGTGAAACAACATACCACAAGACGAATGTAGAGCTAATGTTCTCCCATGTAAACTATCACATAATTCACAACAAAAACTTAAAAAAACAAAAACAGCCCTCATGGGATTTGATTCCTTGGTTTGGAGGTTTAAGGTTCATGGGACATCTTAGTTAACTGGCCTAGTAATGTGTCTAATGCTTCTAAAGCAATATGTATAGTCCCTGGTGTTGTGTGTGGGGTCTTAAAAGCTTGCCAACAGCCACCCAAGATACCGCAATTGGTCTCTATTCACTTGAGCAACCCAGGCAGGAGAGTCAGAACAGAAGGCAGATATGGACTCTAAGGCCAATTACCACCATAAACAATGGATTTTTTTTCAGGCGAACAGAACTGGATGGTGGGGGCCTGGCTAGCATTACTGAACATTTTAATCAAAGATTTCATAGGAGAATCCTGACCAAAGGGAGAAATACAGAACAGAATTTCAAATTATCATGAATTCTAGACTTTCTAGAGTCATAGAGAATGGATGAACCCCAACTATTGTCCTCTGATCATCACAACCTTAATCCAAAAATATCCCCTGAAGTCATCCTAAAACCTAACAACAGTTTAGCTTAACTAGTTAAAAAAAAAGTCTATATTGTTCATTATTCTCTTTTAAGAACTATATATGTGGGACCAAAGTGACTTCAACAACTTTGAAAGAGGCTAAATAGTATTTCATCACAAATTATACTGAGAGTTAAAGAATTTAGATGGTGTACTAATTATCAACAAAGCTCAAAAATGAGAGAGATGTCCAAGTGAGAAAAGATACAAGAAGCACAAGCATGACAAGTGTCATATGAAGGGGACCAAAATTGGGAGAATTAAATGCCTCCCTCTCCCCTCCACACCAACTTCCAACAGAGCAAACTGACATAGTATATAGCAGCTTCCACCAGTAACAGATTGGCATAGCAATACATGTGGCTGGTAGCCATGCCTGGTTTCCTTCAACAGTTCAGCTAAGTTTTTGTTTGTTGTATACACCAACTACCACAACTGCTCCCACCCCTCACCCCCACCCTACCACAGCATCTCAGAGAATGCCTGATACATCTGTTTGTTTATATGGACACATATGCTGTACAATTTGACATCTTATTAAAAAAAATACCTGAGTAAATTAATTTCTAATCTCTTAATAATACAGCCATTGATTTCAAAAAGGAAATGCTCCACAAATTAACAACGCACCACAATAAAACAGAGTAAGTCAAAGACCAACTTACAGTTCTTCCAGAGCATGGCATCCATTGAAACTGGGAAGGCCATTTATATTGTTGTAAGATAAGTCCCTTAGAACAATGGGAGATTAGCACGTTAATTTTGAGTTGTCAGAACACTATATTCAAAGAGCTGTACTTAGACACAATGAAAGCAATGCTAAGATGAGTGATAGAGTGACACGAATGAACAAGAAAAGCCAACTACTTTTCTCCTAAGACTTAGCTTCTGGAGTACCTCAGTGGACAATAGGCTTGTTGGTAAGTGCAGTCGAGTCAGTTGCAACTCATAGCGACCCTGTATAGGATTTCCAAGGAGCAGCCGGTGAGCTTGAACCACTGACCTTGCATTTCAAATGGTGTTGCAGTCTGGCACATTAACCCACAGCACCACACCAGGACTTAGTATTTGAAAATATCCAATACACAGCATTGAATATTGAAAAGACAAAAATATATGAACACATATTTGAGGGTAGTTAAAAAAAAAAACCTTCATGGAAAATTACCATTATCTGTTAATCCTATTTTCCATGAATGATTTGAAGCCCCATTTGTATTAAAATACACAATGTAAACATAAAAAATGAAACATAAAATTATGTTTAAGTAGTAGAGTTGTGAATGTTTAATTAACTATACTTTTACAGGATTGTTTGTGCCAAAAGTACTGTATTTTTCTACAAATAGGAAGCCCACATAAATAACGCACTCACTTGTGACCATCAAAAATGATGAAATTTATGTTACCAAAAAAAGTTCTGATATAGTGTACCCATGCAAATAACTTGCACATACATGTTATTTGTGTAAAAATACTGTGACTTCTATGATGTTCTTTAATTAAGCTATGGCGGTGTTAGTGTGCTGTGGAGTCAATTCCGACTCAAATTCAGCTCTAAGAAACAGTAAATACATTCTCATTCTTTTAAAGTATTTCTATGAAATCAAACATTAAAACGAATTAACTCTTACTTAACCCCATTACAATGTTTCTAAATGTTAATCACATCATGTTCAAGTTTAATACTCTACTATACTACACCAGCTGCTCCTTGGAAACCCTATACAGGGTCTCTATGGGTCGGAACCAACTTGACGGCACTTTACAACAACAAGAACAATACTACCATGTTAACTGTTTAATCTACCCGTCACTTATTTTGTTACCATCTGCTGCCATTGAAAATTTATTAGCAACTTAGTTAACTTGTTTTTGTGGTATTTTCATACCCTCCATAGCAGACTGCTGGAGTCCTGGTGTGGCGCTGTGAGTTAATGTGCCAGACTCCAACGCTGTTTAAACAGCAAGGTCGGCAGTTCAAGCTCACCAGCTGCTCCTTGGAAACCCTATACAGGGTTGCTACAGGTCGGAACCTACTCGACGGCCCTTCACAACAACAACATAGCTGTTGTGAAGGGCCTGGTGTGGCACTGTGGGTTACTGCGTCAGACTGCAAGGTCATTTAAACTGCAAGGTCAGCAGTTCAAGCTCACCAGCTGATCCTCGGAAACCCTATATAGGGTTGCTATGGGTCAGAATCAACATGACGGCACTTAACAAACAACAGCAACACATGACTCTGCAAGATAATGCGCTGGACTGCAAGGTTGGCGGTTCAAACCTATCAGTCGTTCCTTATACAAGGTCACTATGGGTCGTAAGCAACTCAACAGCACTTAATAACAAACAACAGCAACATTTCTTTATTTATAATGCTAAGTCAGTTGAAAGTTTTGGTTTTTTTAAGATAGCTTACAGTTTTTGAAAAATTATACAACTCTTTCTTAGTTCCTGCTCCAAAAAAAAGAATAATGCTGACTAATGCTTATGTTAAGGATGAGAGAGTAGAATATGGGTAGCTAAGGCATCTGGGAGAACTAGAACAATGACAAGGAATCAGGTTTAGAATAAACTTCAAGTAAGAGCCTAGCTTGGTTTTACTTGGTTCAAAGTAACGTCACAAATTGTCATTTATATATAATCTAATGTCAAATTCAAAGGAGCTCTAGTAGCATAGTGGTTATGAATCGGGCTGCTAGCCTCAGGATCAGCAGTTCGAAACTATCAGCTGTTCTGCGGGAGAAAGATAAGACGTTCTGCTTCCGTAAAGATTTACAGTCTCGGAAACCCTGTACAGGGTCGCGATGAGTTGGAACCGACTCCACGGCACATAACAACAACAACAATATCAAATTCAAATGCACATATATCCTATGGTCTGTTAAACTCTTACTCATGAAGGGCACAAATAATTACTAGTTAAAATCACCCTCTGAAAAGTCTATTAAAAATAAAACTCAGCATGTGTGAAATACATAAAAATATAAAGAGAAGAGAAAAGGAATCCAACTTACAAAGTCCTAAGCATCTTTTGTTCTTGGCACAAATTACTGGGAATGCTGCTTATCTTAGTGCCTGTCAAGGTCCTGTGGAAAACATTGTTCATCTGAGAAATGAGTCAAGTCAAGAGAGCAAACAAAATCATACTCTGATGTTAAAAATACATGTACATGGATTTTTACATGGATTAAAGTTTCTGTAAGGAGCTCTGGTAGCGTAGTGGTTACAAATCAGGCTGCGAACCGCAAGGTCAGCAGTTCAAAACTACCAGCTGGTCCACTGGAGAAAGATGAGGCTTTCTGCTCCCGTAAAGATTTATAGCCTCGGAAACCCTGTGCAGGGTTGCTGAGTCAGAACTGACTCCATGGCACACAGCCACCACCAAAGTTTCTGTATTCAACTGCCTCATTACTCCCTGAAGTTTGACATGTGAGAAGCTGATTTAACCCTCCATACAGAGTTCTGGTGTGGCACTATAAGATTGCTAGCACTGAACTGCTAGCTGGGGATCAGTATTTCAAATCCACCAGTCGTTCCTTAGAAACCCTTTACAGGGTCTCTATCAGTCAGAACTGATTCAACAGCACTAAACAACAATAACAAGCAACAAATATCTTCATGTTGTTGGGGTTCTGGAAGGATAAGCACTGGACTGTTAACTGCAAGGTCGGCAGTTCAAACCCACCAGTTGCTCTTCAGAAACCCATGTAGGGTCGCTATGAGTAAAAACCAATTTGACAGCATGTAACAACTACAGATATCATTTGCATAGTAATGTAGAAAAACATGTGAAATGAGATCTCATTATTGCCCAAACAACAGGCTGGCTTTCTTACTCGGGTCAACAGAAAAACACTACTTCACAGTCACAGCAAGTACCACAATCACCTGTAAGTTCAGTTATATCCTCACACGCAAAACATCTGAGAGTAACACACAATCCTGCTCCCAAACTATTTCTACTGCCCTACCCTTCACTTAATCTGACTCATCATTTAACATTTTTATTCTCTTCCTTCCTTTGTTCACCTGTAGTCCTGTTCTTTCTTTCTCTAATATCTCTATTACCTGATCCTTCTTGTCATTTTCACTGCTACTCTGCAGATGAGCGGTGAGAAAATGCAGAAAGGCATGGAAGAATCCCATACTGAGCATGCTGAGTTCTGGAGCAACTCCAGTGATGGAGTGAAGACCTGGAATGCTCACAGTTACATGTGTCCATTTGGCCAAGTGGACTTATTCCCATGGCCGCTTTACCATTTGACTTATTTCTAGTTTCTCTTTCCTTCCTCACATACCACCTGTTCAAACATTCCTAACACTTCCTAACTGCCTTAAAACTCAAGGTTAAATTCCTTAGCTCAGTACTACCCAATGTCTGATTTGACAACTTTGCACATGTGGAAATTATAATGCATATACTATATGGCAAACTGTGGCTGGGGACTCTAATGCCTCAGGTACCATTTACCTATCTGGAGGCCAGAGATGATAATCAAAATCTTGGATGCTCTTATAATCCATTCATAGGCAACCCACTGGGAAACTCTGCCATAACCAAATGTTCATATTTGCCATTTAAGAATCTAACCCCAACTAATTTTCCATATTTCAACATCTCAGTATAATCTTAGCTATATTTCTGATCACCTGCATGATATCCGTGAGTATATATTTTGCATTCCCAATTTTACTAAATCTTGCTTTTTAAATAAAATATCCAGCTCCAGGAAGACTCAGAGGGTTCAGTTCTGGAAAATTCCACTTCCTTCATGAAGCCTTCTCTGATCGCCTATTGTGGGGGTGGAGAAAATCTTTTTTCTGCCAAAATTTATAGTATTATTCACAGGCTACACAAAATTATCAATTAAAAAATTAGCCTGCTTTAGTTGATCAAACATTTAATTTATTCACCCCTAATGTGATGGTTTGAATTGCAAGGTCAGCAGTTCAAGCTCACCAGATACTCCTTGGAAACCCTATACAGGGTTGCTATGGTCAGAATCGACTCGACAGCACTTAACAACAACAACAACGTGATGGCTGGAACTGTGGTTGCATTGGCAGGGCTAAACCAAATGATTTCGAGGCCCTTATGTGGCCCATGGGATGGACATTCCCCACCTCGACCCTATAGGTGTCATTTCAACTTCTGAATTCCTAAAGCATGGCCTTTCATTTGGCACTTAGCTTCTCAGATGTCACCCTACATACTAAGCTGTTCTCTGTCTGAGCTTTCAATCTCCATCTCTGTGTATGGCATTAACAAAGATGATCATGTAAGTGAGACTGGAAGAGTATCAACCTATGTCACCACCAAAGCACTGGCACACTGTCGGCCAGCAGTGTCATCTGTGCACAGTCCCACTCCAAGGGTCACACTTACAGACTCTCCAGATGAACAGATCCAGTCAGATTGGGGAACCTCTGAACCAAGCTTGCACCCCGAATGACTCTTCAAAGAAATTGGGAGATAAATTTTTAATTTAAAATGTAATTTTCATACAGGATATTTAAATTCTGTCTCAACCCTAGCTTAAATTCTAGCATTATTGTAATTAAAAATAAAAACTAATTTCATCTCCTTAATGTGTGTGAAAGTTTGATAATTTAGCTAAGTGTTCACATAAGCCAGTATTACTATAAATTTCAGAGCCATCCTTTGAATTCAGCACAAAGAAAAATACATTATGTTTCCTAGAGCTACAGTAATAAATCTTTGTTTTCCCATTAAAATGGTTACTTAAATACCCAGATTTGAATTTAAATTTTCATAGTACTTACATGGAATGCAGATCGGATAAATTGTAAAATGCTGAGTTTCCCACAAAAGATAGAGGATTATCATACAAATGTCTGTAAAAATACCAAAAAGGCACACATTTTTCATATGTTCTCAAGAACACCAATATTAAATCTATGTTCACAAGATCATATATCTAAAAACTTGAATTTTCATTCTCCATCCAGATGTTTGGCACTGTACAGACTTTGCTTTCTATGATTATACATGAAACTTTCAAAAATACTTACATCGTTCTTAAGAGTGGATTCCCAACAAATGCTCCATCAGGGATAATAGAAATAGAATTACTCTGAAATCCCCTAAAAAGACACGAGAATAAAAAGATACTTTAAAATGCATATCTCCTTGTGAAATTAGTTAAAACCCAAGTATTTACTGATGTTAAGTATTAGACAAAACACAACTGATTCTTTTTAAACCCACCACTTACGGAGTTATCTATTATAACCTCCTGAGATAGTTATCTATTACTTCATCATTAAAGAACTTTAGACTACAGAGATGAAGTATCCCTTCTCCACATCTCTCATTGTAACCTACAGTTGGTTGAAGCAAAAGGTCTTAGACTACTAGCTGCCAACTCATTACACATCATCTCTGTTAGATCACTACATTCTTACCTCTGGCTTAGGACAAACCCTAACCAAAATTCTCTCTCCCTTTCATTTATTCAATTTTTCCCACTCCTTCAAGCCCAAAGTCCTCCTCTTTAGTGATGCCTTTTCAATGGCCCCAAGCCTTAACAAACTCATTTCTGGAAGGATTTCTTAATCCTCCTAACTCAGCACTTTTCTCTATCTCTGAATTATTTGTCCTTACGTGATTGGCCTTCCCAGTAGGACTCGGACTACAAGTGCCTTACAGACAAAGACCAAACATTATACCTTTTCCTGATACCAATATTTAGTCCTATATTCAAAATTGTCCATTCAAGCCAACAAACTCCAATTGGAATAACTTGTATGCCTATGAGTATATATTACAGATATATAGGTGAAGAACAATGATGTTCTAAAATAGCATAGTAGACACATTGAATGGTAAGTTATAGGGCTTGTTAGACAAAAATAAAGCAATACTCACAGTTCTTTTAGGCTAGGAAGCGCTTTAATAGCTTGAGGAAATTCTCCCAAGTTATTATAATTCAAGTCCCTAAGGGGAAGAAAGGGATATTCAAGAAAACTGACTTGATCACCACTTTTGGTTATGATTTTTAAAAAAAAAAATCACATCCGTCTTTCCTTACCAAGGATATTACCACCAAAACCCTAAGGAATTTTATTGAATTATACTTTTCCTTAGACTACTGAGTAGTGAAAAAGAGAGACTTCTACAATGTTTTTAGATCAATAATTTTACAAACTTCAAAGAACTTGCAGAATCATGCACTACCATAAATTATCTGTGTGGCATTTCTCAGGAAATTCACAAAATACAATGTATGAATGAAGATAATAATGAAACTGAGAATTCCACTTGGTGTTTAGAGTGGAATCCTGATACAGAAGCAGCTGACCCAAGCCCCATGACCACCATCAGTATGATGATGTGACAGCAGCATGAACAAAGAGGACTATGGTGAACTCGGACAACCACTGGCCTCGTGCAGGTAAGAAATTGTTGAAAAGATTTGAATCATACTGAACTGTTGTTGTTATTAAGTGCCACCAAGTCAGATCTGACTCATAGCGACCCTGTATTGCATTCCCGAGGAGCAGCTGGTAGATTTGAACCACTGGCCTTGAGGTTAGTAGTCCAGTGCTTATCCCACAGCAACACACCAGCACTCTCATAATGAACTGCTATTGTTATGTGCTGTCAAGTTGGTTCTGACCCTGTACAGGGTTTCCAAGGAGTGAGTGGTGGTTTAGAACTGCTGACGGCACAGCTGGCAATGCTTACCTACTGTACCACATCACAACTCCTAAACTGCAGTAAGCCGTAATGTGGAGTAGTTTAATTTCCCTTAAACTAAAGAGCATGTTGGCATATGATTAGCATGGTTGACGTCAAAATGAAACTTAAAAAATTACAAGTCCAGCTCCTTAAAGAAATATTTTGTTTTCCTTTTCTACAAAGAAGGAAAAGTAGCAAATGAGAAGTTTAACCATCAAGAAGAGATTTAATATTTATATAAGTGGAACAGTATCTAAGGCCTAGGAAGAAGTGATTGGTATTTACAAACTTAGGAAAGTTGAATGGAGTATGGAATTACTTTTCTCAAGAGCTTCTACTTTTAAATGTCCACAGATGTTCACTGTCCTTTCAATTGCTTAAACAGGAAAACTAATTGAGTCCACAGTGGGTTAAGCGTTGGGCTGCTAACTGAAAGGTTGAAGGTCTAAACCCACCAGTTGCTCTATGGGAGAAAGAGGAGGCTGTCTGTTCCCATAAAGATTAGAAGTCTTGCAAACTTTATGGAGCAGTTCTATTCTGTTCTATAAGGTCATTGTAAGGAGCTCTGGTAGCGTAGTGGTTACAAATTGGGCTGAAACCACAAGCTCAGCAGTATGAAACTACCAGCTGTTCCAAGGGAGAAAGATGAGGCTTTCTGCTCCCATAAAGATTTACAGCCTCGGAAACCCTGTACAGGATCGCTATGGGTCGGAACCGACTCCACGGCCCATAACAACAACAACCAACAGCACAGGGTCACTGTGAGTAGACATCAACTCTATGGCTGTGGGCTGGTTGGTTTAAGAGTTGAAGTCTTCTCTTTGGTGGTGGTGTGCCACAGTAACTCTGCATAGGGTTGGCTAAGGCTATAAATTTTTACAGGAGCAGAAAGCTTCATCTTTCTCCCATGTAACAACCTTCTTGATAGTTAACCAGAAAATTTAGTTGAACAATACAAATACCAAACATTCCAATCAGGTTTTAATCAACTATCTGAATAAATTGGGACATTTTATGAATCATTTAGTGAAACACAATAACAAATACTGTAGCTGTTCAGATAAAGGCAACTAATGTAAATTAAATGAGTCCTGGTGTGGCACTGAGGGTTAATGTGCTGGACTGAAATGTCGGTTTGAACCACCTCGGAAACCCTATACAGGGGTGCTATGAGTTGGAACTGACTCGACAGCATTAGAGAATGTAGTAGCTCTGTAGGGTAAGCACTGGACTTCAAACCACAAGGTAAGTAGTTCAAGCCCACCAGTTGTTATACAATGTAAACTTAACAACAATACAGATCCTGCTCTTGATTAAACACAGCTGTACAATGTCTGCTATTCACGTGGTAGTACAATGTACAATGGAACAGTTAGCAATACCAAACACCTTATCTAGTGAAAGAAACAAACCTACTGTAAACACAAAGGAAAAGCTCAATTTGTTGGATTTGAGCACACGACAGCAAATACAGTGTTCCAACTGAGTGTTAACAATTAGCAAGGCAACTGAGATCATGGGGAAATAACAAAACAGAAATAAAAAACAAAAACAGTAAGGGCTCAAAACATTCATGGCAAAATGAAATTGAATTCAGAATTCATTTTATAAGCTTCAAAGTGCCCAAACTATGACATATTAAATCTTCATATATTAAGCTGATTTTGACATGCATTTTTGAAAGAGCATGAAGCTCAAACTTATGCATCATTTGAAATACATAGATTACTACTTTTAGCTGGGTTATTTGATGGCAAGAATTTAGTCATGCATTACAGCAAAGTAATAATGAGATGAATTCAAGAGCAATATTTTTCTTTTTTTCAGCAATAAAAAAACAACAAAATTCACTGTCAACATCATAATGTGACTCCCCAAAACATGAAGGGACTTACAATGTCTCTAGGTTCTCAAGTCCATGAAAACAATGTGGACCCAGGCTTTTAATTTTATTGTTATGAAGATGCCTGTGGGAAAAAAAGCACAAAATGACTTTCATATCTCCCAACAGCAACTAATGCCATTGTTTTAAATGTCTCAATCGGTAGGCTTACAGGAATGTTGTAGCTAAACATTTCAAAACTTAACTACAGAAAGTCAGTATCACCAGACAGTTATCTCTCGACATACACAGCACAGACTACAACTAAATTTAAAAAGAAACAAAATGAAATTTCTATAATGGGAAAATAGTACACACATTGAAGAGTATCTTTTATGTACCCAATCAAAATAAAAGTTATGATTAGCTCTTAATTACAAAGCAAAACTTTGAAGAGCTCTGCAATGGAGGTGGGGAATGATATAGAAAAGAGAGCCATTTTTATACCAGCAAGAATCAGTCAGGGACTTTTAAAGAAAAGGGCATTTCATTAACTTAAATAATGAAAGATTCAAAAGGCAGATCGTATATTTTTTGAAAAGAAAAGTTGGTACATATTTTCTGTGAACATCTCAAAATGATTTTCTTTCTTTTAACCTAGAATACAATGCTGGCACTCAATAAAAGTGGTACAAATGTTTGCAGAATGTCGTTTCATGATTACAATTACACGTTTATTTGGGGGAGATTTAAAAGCTATGATCAGACATTAGTTTTTAAATTGTCCTGATTTGTATTCTTTAAAATCAGCACATTTAATCTCCAAAAACAGCAGTTTCCTTCAACACTAATGACTCAAAACAAGAGTGAGTAAAAAGATACTTTCATAAAGATTTGTCACAATAAACCTGTTTTCTCCCCCAAGTAAACAAAAATACACACAGATGGTATTAATAAGGGTGGATACTTACAGAACCACCAGACTTGAAAGGTTGGTAAATGCAAAGTCAGGGATGCTGGAGATTTTGTTGAGCGCCAAGGTCAGTGCCTGCAAAGTTGGAAGATTGCTGAGGGGATGAATAGGCACCTCCGTCAAGCTGTTGTCATCCAGCCACAGATGCCTCAACTGAACAAGCCCCTCAAAACTGTCCTCGGGGACTGAGGTTATATGGTTGGCATCTAAGCGCCTGACATAGAAACAGAAACAACCGTGTTGAGTAACCACGTCTTGTGTAATAAGCCGATCCCAAGCACATCATTTTCAGAGCTCTCAAAATGAAGAGGAATTCTAAAAATCACCAGGGCCAGGTCATCAGATATTTCTTTAATTTCATAGAAAGTTCTAATAAAATCTAGTAACTTTTCCAAGATCGATATATGAAAGTCAGTTTTTTTCCTTCATAACAAAGGGATTTATCTGAAACCTTCAAGTAACTTTAGTTAATAAATAACTTTATAAAAGAAGGATCTATATTAGAAAGGAAAAGAACTCTCATAAAGCTCAGGCTTGAATTTTACCTTTCAAAAACACAGGAAAACAACGAAACAAACTAAGCCGAGCAAATAAGCTCCTTGACTTCTAATTTTACAGCTAATATTTGATAGAAGAGTTAATCACTCTGATTTGGTAACAAAGGGTAAGAAAACATTTAGAAAATTTTATAAAAACTTAAGCAACAAGTCATTTCAGTGGATTCTCATCTATCCATCAGGCCAAGGTGAAAACATAGCTGTCAGAAAAGTGAAGCAGCCTTCCTCTGGTTAGCAACAGTGCTTTCAAAAACTAAGTTTGCTACAATGAACTTTTTTAGGAGGTCAAACCGTCAACAGAAAATATTAAACTGCTACTTATCAGTGTTATTATAGGTTTAAAGTTTAAATTCTCAAAAAAAAAAAAAAAATGGAATTAAGGAAACCTTATTAATAGGCTTGGAGTCCTGGTGTGCCGCTGTGGGTTAATGCGCCAGACTGCAAAGCCGTTTGAATGGCAAGGTCGAGAGTTCAAGCTCACCAGATGATCCTTGGAAACTCTATACAGGGTCGCTATGGGTCGGAACCGACGCGATGGCACTTAACAACAACATTAATTGGCTTACTCATACTGAAAATTAACACACCAGCTAGAAATCTGTAAAAGTTCTAAGTTGCCACAGCCAGGTGTAATCACTGAGATACATACTTTTCAACACAGACAACCTGGAATTAATATGATGAGGAACAGTGAGTACAAGGCAAGTCACCTGTTGATAAATCTTTGTCACTTAAACTCATACCTCATAGACTTGGATCCTCATGCTAAATATTAGGGAAAGAATTGGGAAAAGCCAAAATGACCACTTTAAAAAAAAGAGAGAGAGAGAAATAGAGTTTGAAAGCTTTCAAGTTCAGGAAATTATGACTTTTATTTACTACTTTTGGAACTTCCATTCCAGACACAGGCAAGTGTGGGGCCCCAGCTCTTAGCTAAACTACAGGCAACCCCAGATGGTGTGTACTTCCTGAGGTAGATTTAAAATAAACAGTTGTCCATGAGTCAATTCTATCTGGCTCGTGGCAATCCCACGTGTGCCAGAGCAGAACAGTGTTCTAAAGCCTTTGCAATGGCTGATTATTCAGAAGTCAACTGCCAGGCTTGTCTTATGAGGAACTTTTGGGTGAGCTTAACCTGCCAAACTTTTGGTTAGCAGCTGAGCACATGAACCATTTGCACCAGGCAGAGACTCCTTGAGGCAGATTAAAACCAGAAACTAAACTCATTGCCATCAATTCCATTGGTTCTTACGGGTGTCTGACTTCAGTTTTCTTTCTGATAAAAAATACTAAAAGAGGGAGAGTTTAGGAAACTGAGCCTTTAAAAATCTGCCTGAAAGAAAACAGTATTAGAGTTGGTTTTTCTTGGACTTTCTATAACCTATCTCTGAGATGACACAGGAATCCTCAGTAGAAAAAGTTGTCAAAGTATCTATCAGTCACAGAGCAGTTTAGGAGATTTGCTTCAGTGAGTAGATAGGAATGTGTTCAATCACACTAACACATACACACACAGATACAATTCATACACTCTTGGAGCTTCCATACTAGAGAGGGAAACACTAAAGACACAATTATCCTCCAAAGATACACTGTACCTAAATAATGCAATTATGTTATACTCTTAGCTAACTTAATCACATTTAATTCAATCGGTGCACTGTAATTGAGCACCTCATTAGAAAATTGAGGAACACATCAGACATGACTGCACTCATGTAGTTGATATTCTTGAAGGATGGGGGGGGTAGTGAAAGGAAGGGGGCCATGACACAAATATAATAAATAATCAAATGATTACAAAGTGTTTAACAAGGACTATAAGTAAATGAACAAGAAAACAAGATACTGAGATAAAGATTAATGAGAGGTGAGGAGGAGTGTGAAGTACTTAAAATATTTGATCTGGAACCACCCAGAATCGAATCCGGATATAGAAGTATCCAGAATAAAACACAAGGATATAAATGAAGATAGGGAATCAGAGATCCCAATCTCTAAGGAAGACAACTATAGAGCAACAAGAGAGGAAAGTATAGTACAGAATACCAAATGGTGAGAACTTCAAGTAGATGTCAAAATAAAACAGGTTTTTAATTTGAGGAAGAAATTAATAAACTATAATATGATCTCAAAGAAGTATAATACACCTTCACATCAAATTGAGAAAAGGAAAATCCATGAAGATTTTGGAAATATTAAAACTATGAAAAAATGAACCAAAAAAAACCACTCAAAAAAATTCACTTGCACAGGAAGAAATGTGGAACAAAGAAACCAGCAGTATCACAAAAACACCCCAAGAAAAATGACTACAGTCAATATCTTTGAATAATCACACTGAGTGCCAATGGATTAAACACACCAGTCAAGAGACAAGAGTAGCAGAATTCTACAAGAGACAAACCTTACATTCAATAACATAGATTCAAAATTATAGAAAAAAATTATCAAGTTAATGAAAATAAAAAATGAGCATTAATGGCAATATTAATTCTGATAAATAGACTTTAGGCCAAAACCAGACAAAAAGGGACATTATCTCATGATTAAATAATCAAATGAACAAGAGGACATAAAGATAATAAAACTGAAAAAGAATCATAACTCTACAACAATAGTTGTTGTTGTTAAATGCTGTTGAGTCAGTTCCAACCCATAGCGACCCTGTAAAGGGTTTCCGAGGAGCAACTGATGAGCTAAAACCACTGACCTTGCGGTTCAAACTGACTTTGCAGTTCAGTGCATTAACCCACAGTGCCACACCAGGATTCCACAATAGTTGTTGCTGTTTTTGCTGTTAAGTGCTGTCGCATTGTTTTTGACTCATTGTTGTTGTTGTTAAGTGCCGTTGAGTCAGGTCCGACCCATAGCGACCCTGTACAGGGTTTCCGAGGGTGTAAATCTTTACGGGAGTAGAAAGCCTCATCTTTCTCCCGCAGAGCAGCTGGTAGTTTCGAACCGCTGACCTTAAGGTTCGCAGCCCGATTCGTAACCACTACACTACCAGAGCTCCTTTTGCTCATAGTGACCCTGTAAAAGGTTTCTGAGGAGTGGCTTGGTGAGTTTGAACCACCAACCTTGAGGTTCAAAGCAACACTGGAGACTTTAATACACTGCTTTCAAAAAGGGCATAAAAACCAGGAGGAAACTGAACAAAGACACAGTGAAACTATATAACACAATCTAACAATTTGACCTCATAGATTTACACTGGGCACTCAACCCAACAATAGTTCTTTCCCACTGCACATGGAACAGTAACAAAGTAAGTCTCAATAAAAAAAAATTTTTTTAAGTAAATAAAAAACAACAAACCCTTGTGTCGAGGGCTGACTTTTAATAGATCACAGCGAGGGAGCTACTCTGCTACGTACGAAATCCCGACAAGTCTCAATACATTTTAAATCATCAAAATACTATAAACTGTCTTCTCAGATCACAATGCTATACAGTTAAAAATCAACAATAGGAAGACCAAGAAAACAAAATCAAATACATAGAAACTGAATAAAGCCTGCCTAAAAGCCATTGGTAAATAGAACAAATAAAATAAAATAAACTTATTGAAGCAAGTGAGAATGAAAACATAACATATCAAAACCTTTGGGACACAGCAAAAGCAGTGCTTAGAGGGCAATTTAATGCAATAAATGCACACATCCAAAAAGAACCCAAATCAATACACAAATACAACACCTTTAGTAATTACCATAAACACAATGGAATACTATGTAACCTTGAAGAATAACAAAACACCTCACAACATGGATAAACCTGGAGGACATTCCACTGAGTGAAAGTAGTCAATCAAAAAGTACAAATATTGTACGAGACCTTCACTGTAAAGGCTTACTTACAAAAAGGTTTCCATACTAACAGAAACATTCTTAGATGGTTACCAGGGGTGAGCTTGCCTGTTGCTGTGATTCTGGAAGCTATCCACGGATATTTTAAATATCAGCAGGGTCCCAGAGTGGACAGAATTCAGCTGGGATTACAGAAGACAGGCTAAGAAAAAGGAGAGATGAACTACTTCTGAATATTTAGTCACTGAAAACCTTTTGTTAGCAGTGGGACATTATCAACACCAGAATGTTGAATATTGAAACATGATGAAGAGCACCAGAATACTGTAAGATATAGTGCTGGAAGATGAGTCCCTCAGGTTGGAAGGCACTCAAAATGGGACTGGGGAAGAGCTGCCTCAAAGTAGAGTTGACTGTGATGATGCATATGGAGTAAAGCCTTCAGAACCTTCTTTTGCTGATGGGCACAACTCAAAATAAAGAGAAACAGCTGTAAACATCCATCAATTTCCACTTGAAATACATGCAAAACCAACCCAGAACTGCTGGGAGAACAGACTTGCAAGAAAAAGTGAACTGTTTAGCTGTTAGAATTTCAAGAAAACTGTTATCTTTGGAGGCATCAAGGAAAGAAAAGTCAGCCCACCAGAGAAAACCCCATTCTAAGACTGAAACTTAATTGGGAACCCGCAAGCAGTCTAGTATGCTCGCTGGAGACCACTGGATCTACTTGTGAGTGGAAGTGGAACAAATGCTGCAATGAAGACACAGGCTGAGTTTACCCATGTTCAATGGACACCTGTTTACCTTGAGATGAGAGAAGAGAAGAGAAAGGGCTGGCTGGTCTG